TTTTGTATCATAAGTAAGTAGTCCAATGCAATTGCCAATGCAATATATTTATCTCACATTTGATTGGCTAAATATTCTCATTGGAATCTATTTATATGTGTTTTATGCCGACACGTACATTTTACCCTGAAACAAAATGACAACAGAGGTTACTGGAACTGAAAAGAAAGGCTTCAAGTCCTTCTGTAAATTTTCCATATTAGTCTATGTTATGAGCATCGTAAGCAGCCACTAATGATTTCCCTATTTTTAGTTCTTTGATTTAATTCAAATTGGATGCAGCTTGTATTTGATCATTCCTTCGTCCACCCTACATGGAATTCCTGTGTCAGTGTCTGTAGTTGGTGCTATTGCAGTAATTATCCATTTGATTGGGCTGAGTTTTCAATGCAAGCCAGAATCCACTTATGGCCAAAAGGTAAGAGCTTCGATTTCACCATCTTATTCCTTGTAGTACAAATGGGCAATTGCTATATTAATGTTTGTCCAGTTGTTGCTTGGAGTCCTGCTAATATGTTTTGAATATCCTGTGGCAGCTGGCTTCGTCGTTATTGCCTGCGGCGCCCTCGGAGAGATAGCACTTCTCATAATGTTGTGTTGAAATTAAACTTCTTAACTACTTTGAAGATAATTTCATTTCATTATTTGCTAATCACTATTTTCCGTTCATTAAAATATTAATAATGCACACAAATGATAATTTAATAAACATTTGTTTACCGCCAATTCTGTTGAAGATAATTGAAATTGAGTGATCGATTTCAAGATGAGGGAACTTTTCCCTTAGTAAATAAAAAAGAATCTTGACAATTCAGGGATTGTCGAAGATATTGGAATAAAGGGAGGTTGAGAAGACTTTGGGTTACAATAGTATGTTGGTTTAAAAGAGGCTGCATTATGAGAATAACTATTTCTGCCACAACTCAACTATGTTCCTTTGTTATGCATTCATAATTCCGAATTCATTTCATTTTTGATATCTAGGAGAGATAAATGCCTATTTGCTTACCCAATCGCTTACTCGAGCTATACGATCTCATTGTAGTTATTTTTTATTCTTCCAAATCCCTATTTCAACCCATCACACTATCAACTTGAATTACTTTTCATTCATTGATGACGGCATTGTAGAACACTCCTATGAAGGCATTTCGAATGACTCACTATCGTCTGTATCTTTATTTCTGTCTAATTGTCATTTGGTACCTTTAATGGTGAAAACTAAACTGAGCTAATCCTGAAAGTGGTCCGCCCTAAGTCTCTATTCACACTGCAATAGGTAGTCTAATGTGACCTCCATTCTCCTGTAGAATCGTGGATAGTTTCATGGTTGATATTGCAAATCAAATTGTCATTTGTCTAAAAGTAGGGCTTTCTAAATTTAGAAAATTCCCAGCATTTTATTTATGCATAGGAATTACTAATGGCCAAGTGTTACAAAACAAAACAAAAGTTGGTTTGACTAAAATCTCATTACGTCAAGCAGAGATCCTAGAGCCAGTGTTGTTGGAAATATTAGTGTTGACATATTGCTACATTTTTCAATGCCCTAATTGGAGTTTGTTTTAAAATCGTTATTTGTGAAAAAGTGACTTCCAGCAAAGGGAAATGCTCATAAGGCTCTAACTCTCTCTACTTATTTGTACTCAGTAGCATTTCTGTCATAAGAAATTCACCGCTGTCGAATGAACAAATCTGTGAACTCTGAAATGTAAAGCATGAGAGTATCATCTTCATTAATATCCCATAAATGCATTTTATTTGTTGGAACTTATTTCATTTGCGTTCTGAACGAGTATTGATAGTAATAAGCCCCAACAATTTTTCACACTCAGGCTGTCGTTAATTCCTGAAATGAAGCCACACAAAAGTGGCATGTTCATACTAGTCTGTTAAAGTGCAATTGAATTAAACAGGAAGAGGTCAGTGTCATGCGTATCGAAACCATTGGTTCAATACCTGATCGATATGAGTTAATGAGGATAGATAAAGATTGTATATGAAGAAAAAATGCATTAACATAAGTACTGTCTGTATGATGAAGAGAATATTTTGCCACAAAGAAGGAATTCAGCTGAAGGACCTCAAGTGAAGGCAGAAAGTGATCGAGATTGAGGCATAAGTATGATTCTTCAATTTGCTGATTTCCTTGTGAAGTATTATTGGGCAGCCCTTTTGCACTTCATTCTTGACAGAAACGATTCTTTGGTAGTTGAATTATAATTTGATGAAAGAGATCTCAGGTCTAAGCAACATCAATTCCAATGAGGTACTCGTCCAACTTTGTTGAAGCAAGTTGGCGAGCTTCCGCATTCTCACCTACCTCCCCCCCCCCTTCACCCCCATCGAGCCGTCAGCTTTGAGACACCCACCATGAACTCACTTCCACCACCCCTTTTGTATGCACCTTACATCCAGCAGTTAAGTGGAATAGGACGGAAGCATAATTAGCTCATTATCGTAACCTTTTCTCGAGATTTGATTCATGCCAACGTGGTAAAATTAAATCAGGAGACATAAGGGAAATAAGTAGTCAAAATACGGCTTTATAGTTAGTGGTAAAAAAGTATTCAAAACAACTCGGAGGAATTACAAATGCATAGAAAGAGAACGGAGGCATCCTACTTCCAAAAAAATGTGTTACAGCGGGCCAGGGGGTTATTGGGTGCTCCAATTGGTCGAGCACAGGTCCAGAACTCGCGTCCACGATGTCGACTGTCAGCTCGCTTAACACAACGCAGCACGCAGGGCTCTCCGTGACTCGAACACAGAGGAGCGATTTTCGACTTTTTGCCGCCGTTGAGAAGACTCTGCCAAGCTGCAGTTGTGGACTTCCGTTGCTCGATTTCCCTCTCTAGGTCCAATTCGTCATAAACGACCTTCTCGTCTCTTTCCTCCTTAATGGAAACTGGCGGTTTCATAGGTTCTGGGGAGCTTTCCTTGGGCTTGAATGCTAAAGATCAATAAAAAGCTCAGAACTGAAAAAAATAACACCAATATCTACTAAATCAACGCTGTTTACTCTAATGGATAAAAGCTACTTTTATATGTTCAAACCAAAGAATACTTTGTTTGAGGGCATAGCAGATCAGTACCATTTCCCAAATGCTCAATTAGAAAAATTCCAAGATTGACACCCCATTTAGCGCAGACCAAAATTGAAAGGAAAGTGAGGAACAAACACAAAGCTACCGTGACAAAATGTGCTTGAAGCGAACCACGATGGCGCCAAATTATAAACCCACAGCGTGCACCTACCTATTGTTGAAGTGAATTTTATTAGTTTAAATAATAGCCAAATAAATGGTGTTTTAGAAAAAGAGACATTTCATGGTCAGTGAGTTCTATCTTGTTGAAAAAAACTAACGCTCGATTCGCCCATCGAGTTAAGAAGTTGTGTCAACAGAGAAGAGCTCAAAAGTAAAAGGCATCATAGCAGCGTTTAACTAAAGAGGCATCTGAATGCAGAAGAAAAACCCTCTCCACAATCGCACCAAATAGAAACATGGCAGCACTATTTGCCGAGCATCGAACATTTTCGCAAGAACTCAAAAGGGAAAATGTTCAGATCCTTCAATATGCTGCATCATATCTGAAATGGGAAATCTTCGTAAGATCTTTGGAGATTACTCCAGTGTCTTTACCAACTTGGCATATACAAATGGTTGGAGTTATGCAGTTGGAGAAATCACATTGAGAAGAAACGAACACCCTCCTATAGAATGATGCATATTTCCAAAAGTAAATAAACATTTTCAAAATAGACCAAGGAAATCTACAGATAATGAGAGATCGGAAGACTTCCAAACACCAACATTAAGCTAAAGAATAAAAACACCCCCTATAAGAGTTAATTTTTAACTAAGCGATAAAACGAAGAAAGTCTTCAAGCCGCTTAATTTGGTTCAAATTGTTGAAAACAAAAAGCAGAAAAAAATCTTACCAAAATCAAGACGGGCTTGGCGAATCCTTTTTCCATCTCGGACTTCAGGTACCTGAGTGTTCACAACACCACTGCTTGCAAATACCTTACTTTCAATTTTGTCGCATTTTTTTACAAATTCCAACAAACTCAACTGACGCTTCTGACACTGTGGCCAGAAATGCGAGCATAATGATGGCAGAGACCCAGACTCTTTGGTAGAAATATTGAGAGGAACTTTAGCCCAAACAGGACAATGGTCAGATCCCTCAATATGCTGCATAATATCTGAAATCGACTCGTCTTTCTCAATGAAAAGATCCACCAGACTCTTATCGAAAAGAATATAATCAATGCGTGTACCGTAGTTTGTTTGCCGAGCTCCTGTTTTGGTATTCCAGCAAGTGAAAGCTTCCTTACGGTCTGGATGAGCTAGCCTAATTCACTATTAGAAAGAGGAAAATTTACTACAGACCGAAAAGTATCGACCATTGATACAAAGAGAAGTTCATCTAACCAATCAATTGGTCCTCTTTGTAAACTCTAGAAGAAGTATAAAGTATTACCGTTTATTCAAATCAACCATGTAATACTCCGGACAACAGTGATCTATGGGCTTGTGACAAATGTTCAAGTCGCCAGCTAATATAACATAACTAAAACTCCACTAAGTAAACAAATCAGACAACGTACCTTCCATTCTCAATCAATTTGTGGACAACTGAATGAAGCAGCTGTAGAAACTGTATTTTGAATTCAGCACGATCCTGGTTATCGGAATCGACACGGGGGCAGTAGACAGATATAACAGAAAGTAATTTATCATATAGATCTGTTTTGAATTGGAGAACAAGAGCCCGTCCTTCAGAATCGAGAGCTTTGTCGAAATCCTGGGATGGAAGTAAATCCAATAGGCTATCGTATGCTCTGATTGGTCTGAGTGGATCTCTGCAAAATATACTGACGCCAGCATAACCTGGTTTAGCTTTGCAGTGAACAAAATAAGCATTATATCCATCAACTCTACTATAGTGAGCAGGCAGGTCACCTAGAACGAAATCAATTCCAATCAAAATGTAACCGCACGTCCTGCTTTAGTCTCCTGAAGACATATTATATCAGCCTCGAGTTGATCCAGGTGTGACTTAAATGGTGTAGGAAATGATCGAATCCCATTTATGTTCCATGTACAAAGTTTCAACATCGCAGCTAAAAGAAATAAAAGAAAATACGTAGTTGACAACAATGTCTAATAAAATGTCAGTACCGACTGTTAAGATGACAGTAACTGTCAAAAATTTTTAATAAACGCATGAGATTGCAATAGAAGTAACACAAATAAACTGCTTCGATACAGACACAATAAATACTCTTAAATTAGCAGATTTTTCATATTGAAGTGTGAGTTACAAGTCAAGGTCAGTGAAAATTGAGATTTTTTAATATATCTTTACGTTAGGTAAAATATTAATTTAAAAATTGAGTTTATTTGCACCTATGTTTAATAAAATTCTTCAAATATAACTCTAACTTGAGCCTACCATCTGTATTTTATTTATCTTTAGCAAACTTAGTTTTATCAATCGTGAACGTACACAAATTACCCATAACACTTTCGATAATGGAGACACTTGAATCAACAAAACCATAAGTTTTGTGCTAGAATAAATAATTGGTCTTATCTTGACCAATAGTGATTGTTGTTGAGCTAAGTCGAATGTTGTAGTCACTCTTTTGTCAACGGTATATTTTCTTAATCCTAAAGTATCGAAATAATTGAACATCTTCAACGCCACCGATAAACAAAACATACTTAGAAATTGGATAAAACAAGTCCCATAGCTATTTTAGCTACTTTTTGCCCAAAAATAAACAATTTTGTTAAATTATCTTTAATTTGTCCATCATTCTTATCAAATAATGTGTCAATTAGCCACTGGCATCTAACAAACATTTGGAATCAAATCGGTTTCAATCTCAAAATGTGAATGGAGTTAGCGAAAACTTGTATTCCTAATGTAGTGCCTATGTTTGACGAATTAAATGCATTTTTAAGTTGCATTCGTTCTTGATATTCTCCCTCCAGTCTAAGTTAACTGAAGTCAAGATATCGTTGTAGAAGAACTTTATCGAATTGTATTGCGGGACTAAAGTTATCTGCTTTGCAAAATTGGTGATGATGTCACCTGAGAACCAGCAATTTCCAAAAAATGAACAAAATTTTCACGAACCCCCCCCCCCCCGAAATGATAAATCTCTCTTCCAGCAGAAATGAAATAAGTTAGTAATGCAACATCAAATCTTACAGAAACTCTGCAAAAAAGGTGTCTCTCCTAGCTTTTCATGTCGATTGTCTCAACTTATTGCATTGACCAAATCATTAAACAAATTAAAAGTTTATAACAGGAAGATAATAATTATTTCACGATTAAAAAAATCAAATATGCTTGGGACAATTGGGCTCTACCGTGTTCATTAACTCAACTCACAAGTGAATCGGAGATTAGACTCCACTTTTCAGGGTTAATGAAGTTGTCAACCAGAAGATAACAAGGGAGCTTTCTTCTGCGGATTTAATTGTGAATTTGAAAACCAAATTTCCAGATATATAAACAGATATGAATCATCAAACTAAGAACCTAGCTGATATTTTGAGTAGATTTTGGCGACTTTCTAGGCACATCCGTGTTTAATTAGAAGCATGGATTCAAGGCAAATAAAACAAAACAATACGATCGTATTCGTAAGTCGATCTTCAGAGCACTATTCTATACCATAATGTTAATAAGTTGAATGCAAAGGAGTGAAAGAAACTGTAAATTGTACAAGAAAAAATATAAAGTCCAATATATATATATATATATATATATATATATATTCTATACAGGGTCTTAAATTTATCTTTCATTGATCGTTAAGAATATTGGCGTTATAATAGATACCCGTTTTTACGCAGTCGAAGGATGAATTACCTAGTATTTTAACTGTAAAATATTTTACAAATGGCTTCCTTCTAGTTAGACATTTTGGGAAGATTAGCTACTTTACTCTCTAAATTTTTACCTAGGGCGTTGTACGAACGCCAACCCTGTCTGGTGTGAGCCAATATTAGAAAATCCTTAAAGAACCCACTATCTTTAATCTATTTAAAAAATTAATTATTTGTGGAACACATATAAATGATAAAAATGCGAGAATAGACTGTAATTTTACCCTATAGTGTGATTAAATCCATAAATATTCGAGCAGAATAGCTGTCCTAAAATACTTCTTTATGAAAATATATATCAAGATATATTAAAATGCATTTTATTTTACTCGTTTTACATTAATATATCTGTGACATTGACCTTAACAGAAATCAAAAGCAAAAGCTTATTCAAGGTGTTAAAAGTTGCAAAAATTATGCAAAACATGAAAATTAACTTTTCATAAGCTTTTTAAATAATAGGTTAATTTTGTCAATCACGCTACTTATCTAGAATATTTGTTTTACGCACTCTTTACAACCATCTCAAATCTAGCGATTATTTGAAACCACTAAATCTACAGCATTTTTTTAATTATTTTATGAGATGCCAGAAGTAAAGCCGACGAAAATATTATCATTCAGCAGCGAAAATCCAGTAATTGTGTACTTATATTGTTTCCTCATTGCCCACTTTATGTTAATTATTGCTGTCTATTCTAATTTCTCTATATTATTTTGTCAAATCGCTACAACTTATTTTTTTAACAACTGTATCTTTATTTTTTTGCTCCTTTCAATTACTAGCATTGTTTATTGTCAATTCTTGTTTTCTCCCAGGCATATCCTGCGGAGAATCTTCTTAAGGTTAGCACATTTTTCAAATGGAAATGCGAATCAGGTGGACAAAAGCAGGCTTCTGTTACATTCCAATTTGATCATCCTATTCAGTTTTATCGTATTGATATTGCGAACGAGGGCTCCGCTTTTATTCAGGTAGAAGTATCTAGGTCTGATTCTGCGAATTTTGAGGTTCTCCTACCCTCGTCCACTTTTATGTCTCCTGACGACTCCAAGAAGGGTGTTTCACTTAATCGTGTCAGAATTTTTTCCAGGAATGAGCTTAATTCGTCTATAGCCAATCAAAAGTGGGACATTGCTAAAGTTATCTGTTCCCAACCTTTCAACATTGAACTACAATTCGGACTTTCCTTTATTCGTTTCTACCAAACTCCAGATGCTTCTGAATTATCACCTTCTGTTATCATGGATGAAGAAAGAAAATCTACTGAAAACGAAATCCTTAAACCGGGAGGGTTGTTTAAAATGGTTCAGAAATTATCGGAAGAGAATAAAGCTCCAATTGCCCCAACTATTCCTGATATTAAGTCTGTCATTCCTTCAACGGGTAAATATGCTATTTTATCTAAGTATTTCAATCTTATTTGATCTTTCTTTTTATAGTCACTCAAAAGCTTTTGCGACAAAATCGATCAGGTATGTTGCCATTTTTAACGACTTTATTAGTGTAGGAAAAAAGTCTTGACAATAACGTTTGACTTTAGTATTTGTTCGTTACCTCAATTTTTATCTTAATAATGAAAATGGTAATTGAAGTTATTTGTTTGTCATGTAGTATGTGGCCTCATCCCATTGGAAAGTTCATCTAAATTTCGCATTTGAATGGATTTAGATTTCTTCTTCGTTTGTACTACTGACCATTTAATTTGACTTATTGATAATTCTGAGTTGAATTTTAGTAATTTGTCTATTTTTTGATGAAATTCCTTATATTTTATCATCTAATGTCTCGTCCTGTTTAATCTTCAGTAAATTGTAAAATTTTTTCGTTAATTCTTATACCTCGCAATGGTGTACAGTTGTGAACGCATAATTTGGCTAATTACTTATCCCTTGAGCAGCCTAAACAGAATGTTTCTTACAATCCATATATTTTTTTAGTATAATAACTAGTGTATTCGTCCTAAAGTAAGTTCAAAATATAATAAAAAATAATAATGTGCAACAGTCATCATCGTAATTTTATGTTATGTAACACCCGTAAACACGGCACATTTACTTGATTGGATTATTATTTTCATTGGGTGATTGCCTTGCCAATTTACAATCGTAAATGTGACGCATTCTCTGCGCCTATTGGCTCCTGTTTCTCTTGCTTGCAGGTAAAAGAATATAACGTTAACATCGACATTTTCATTCTTACCCTAAACAGTCTCGTATGAACACGTTTTTTATCATAAATTCTGTTGTGTTTATGTTTTTCGTGCTTTTTTAACTCATCATTCTTACTCAATTTGTAGCCATGGATGCACTGAAAATGTCGAATCCCTCAGTAGGTCAACAATCGACTTCAAGTAGTAATACTTCAGCCACAAACAGTGCAAATCCTGCACCTTCTACAAGCTCGGACACTACGAGAGCTCGTAATAGCGGCGGTTCAGGACGCAGACGAAAACGAATTTTGGATGGAGTTATTGTAGCTTTCAGTGGTTACAAGAATCCCTTCCGATCAGAACTTCGGGATTTGTGTCTGAAGTTGGGAGCTAAGTATCGACAGGACTGGACCGATGATTGTACTCATCTCATGTAAGTTCTCTTTTGCAATAACACCTCACTATGTCTAAAGAGTATTTATCCGATTTAATACTATCTATTAGCAGCTCGAATGGTCATTTTTCAACTTTGGGATATGTATCCGCCTTTACAATTTTAATCTTTGTTGAATTTGTCTTTTAAGTTATTCTTAGTGTTGAAGTTATGATCATTTTCTTTTTCTGTATTTCTTCCGTTAGCTGATTAGTTTTTTTACTTCAAGATTGCCAGATCTTAGGCCACTTATTATTATTATTATTAACCTTCGATACATTATCGAGTTTGGGGGGTAGGATTAATTATTAGTTACAATTTAGAAGGCATTAACATTGGCATAAAGGTTACTATCCATGATTAAGGTTTAATGCTCAAAGCTTCCGCGATTTTCGCCACAAGAAATGTGTGTAGACAGTGCTTCAATCCATTGTGTTAGACGTAAAAGAGGTCGTCGCTTCATAGTCAAGCTCATTATTTAATGCTTGGGTAAATCATACGCCAAGAAAGTCCATAATCCAACTGTTGGCTTCAAGCTACCATGACCCGACTCTATGTCAGATTGGACCACTTTCACACTACTCACCTCATCTTCTTCTCTAACTTTGTGTCGGTCTTCCTTTTACATCTTTGAATCACTCTCTTCTGTCCCCCCCCCCTCTTCACTTTTTGTGACTTTGATGTTCCTTCCTTCTGTGAAGCTAAAGGGCTGATGGTAACTATCATAAAGCCTGCCGTTTGATGTAAATAAATAAATGAAATCTTATGCTTGGAGGAGACATCATTTAACTCCTTTCGAATAAACTCGATTTGTGTGCCTCTTTCGTTGACTGTTTCACTCACTGGGTGTACATCAATGTGTATTGAGTTCTTAGCCTCTGGTTTTTTAAACTGCCACGTTAAACATTGTATCATCAGCTCGCATAAGCTCCTATGGGTCGTGTCTTCAATATTACGCCATTTTCATTACTTTTAAAATAGTCTTCTACTATATATTAATAAGTAGCATATTTTTTCAGTTGCGCATTCCCTAATACCCCAAAGTGGAATGCCGTGAAAGGAAAAGGTGTGATTACCTCGCATCACTGGATTAAGGAATGCGATCGTCTTCAGAAACGTGTCTCCTGGCGGCCCTATCGAGTAGGCCGAGCACCGAGTCCTGTTGGCCATGTCTCTGATCATGAAGATGATGCTGAAGGTCATAGTGATAATAGTGATTGGGAGTGAGTTTTGACCTATACGACTGTTTTTAGTGTAATAGCCTTGCACGTTTCTAATTTATCTTTTGCTCTCTTCATCCTCTTTCCTTCACTTCCTCGTTTCTTCACCTTTCACCAAATATTTTCTACTATTTTAGAGGTAAGTTCACTTTTCGTGTTTATTTTTCAATGTACTATTTTTGTCACTCCATTTCCATAAAGACTATTCTATTTACTAGCTCATGTATTAGCCGTTTCAATGTTACATAATGGCCTCTTCAAATTACCTCTTGTTGAGTCATTTTTTGCACATCAAGTTCACGAAATCCATTTTACTTGTTTAGTGTATATTTAAGTGGCGTTAATCCAGACAATGCAGCTACTTCAATACTCTGCCTGTATTAGGTCACGAAATTCCCTTCCACTTTAACAGAATATCACAGCCTCTTCCAAATGAGGAAGTCCGCATTCAAATTAGGCGAATTTGTACTGGGGAGATAAACGCAGTGGAATAATTGAGTATGACACTAATTGGATAGAGAGGGACCCGGATTGTGCGGAATAAGACCCACGGAGGACTGTTCGATTTTTTGCCCCTTTGGGATTTCAGGGTGAACAAACTTAAGAGTTATCGCCCTGTGTTCCATGTATTCAAGTTTCATTCTCTGTTTCCTCACTATCTCAGCTCTCCTGTATAGTATTTTAGTGACATTTATAGGGAATTCAAAGTAAAAGCAGATTTAAGACGGAATGTTATTATTTATAATTGTCTCAAATTTAGCAAATAATGGGATCGGGAAATTATTGTGGAACTGTAAATTAATACCTTTTCATGCCTTTTACACGTTTCATTTGTCTTACATTTGGGGTTTATTTAGTTTTTGTTTCCATTTCTTGCTTCCCTTTTGTATATGTAGCGTCAATCGTGGAGGATGAAGGAAGCGACGATTGGAAACCTGAAGGCTCAGACAATGAGGAGGAAATGGATACTGATGAAGAGCCTGTGGATTCCGATGCATCGGCAGATGCTGATACAGATGTTGTTGACGATGATGAGGAGGATGATGGTATGAAAGTTGCAAGGCAATCCAAATCGTCTAAATCCAAGACCCCAAGTGCGTGAATATTTCAATATATTTTTACTAGTTTCTAGTAAGTAGCATTTAGTTCTTCACGAATTCTTTTTTCTTCTTTCAGAGCACAAGAAACCAAAAGCCACTAAAGGGGCTAAATCATGGGAACCCTTGAGGCGTAAAGGCAATTGTGAGTTGATATATATCTGTCTTTCTAACACGGGCTCAGGTTCATTCTAATAATTTCTGGGTTCTTTGTTATTTAAATGAGTGTTAATGCATTGTTGGATGGTGTCTCATTGTGTCATTACTCTGTTAAACGATCGTGAAATTCAAATTTCTTTAAATTAAAAACAGTGGTTTATGCGTCTATAAAAAATTGGGGTGTGTTGCATTCAGTTAAAAGTCGGCTAATAAAACGCCTGTCTGGTGGTGGTTTGTATTTTTCTGGATTTATATAATTTCTTCTTGCAGTATTATCAAGTTTCATATTTCCGATGTTATTGGAATACACTGGAGTTTGCCATATTTCAAGGAAGTAAACTTGGATGTCAGCCTCATCTTTGCGTTTGTGGAGTCATTCGTTTAAAATTGTTTCATTTTTTCTCCCAGCTGAAAACACATTATGAATATTTTGTCAAATGAAAAATACACACTACTTAGGTTTTGTTAATAGCATTTATCTTTTCATTTTGCAGTCAGGCATATTCAAATGCTGCCTTTGTTTTGGTTTTTTTGTACCCATGTTTCACAATTGTCTGCACTTTTAGCCAGCTCATTACTCCGATCTATTTTTTTGCAGACTTATTAAAAACGAACAATGACATATTTTATTCTGATTTATGACTATTTCAATAATTCAAGTTAATAACTAACTCCCGTTTTACTTTTTCCATTTTCGACTTTTAGGCAAAGCTCCAGAGGACGAAGATACGGATGAAGAAATTCAAAGGTGAGAAGTCTTTTTCAAAACAATTTAGCTAGCTTTTGTAATAGCGGTGGGAAGTGAGCTTTCAGTGCTCCAGTGTATGGTCATTGCGATTGCCCAGTATTTGTTTATTTGTCTTTTTCTCTATTGTAGAAATATTTCAACCAATGACGTGAACCCTTCTTCTCCTTCTGTGTCAAGCAAAAACGATCCTCTCCCTGAGCTCCCTGATATCTTCAGTGGGAAAAGATTCTACATTTTCTCCAAAGATATAGAACTCAAGGAAGAGGAAACGGTCTATCGGTTAATAATCACGTTTGGAGGGTAGGTTCAATTTGATTTGCTTCGTGTGTGTGTGTTTCGCCACGATAGTAGGGGCTAAGTAGAAGGTGGAATCAATAATGTACGGTAATGCCAACTCAATTTTCAATGTGCTTTTGATGCGTCGAATTGAAATTAAGTTGAAATTATTGTTTGGAATAACAGTATACATTCAAGTAGGGGGGGGGTATTAATAGAACTGGGGTTGAAATCATTTGAAAGGGCCCCCAAATCGTCATATATGTATCATTGGAAGAAGTTGGACTCTTTGAATTTATCTTACTCCTTACTTTTTAATAAAATGGGTTATTTTTTGTTCCCAATCATTTTAATATCGTTGAGCAATCGAGATTCAGCTCTTATTTCAAATGTTTTCAATTTTGCTGTTTCCTGAATTTATCCACGTCTTCTTCTACCAACAAGTAGATAATTGGGCCATAAAGCCTTATAATTGCTCTGTCGATAACTTAGTTGGCTTTTAGTGGACGCCGAACATCCAGACCCTTCTAATTCGTCAAATACTTCACCACTGACACAAAATTAATCTCTTTATTTGGTTGCAATTTACTTATCACTTGCTTTACTTTCTTGCACCTCTTATTTTTCTTCCTCTCCTTTTTACTATTCTCTAGAAAAGTGGAGCTAAATATGAGCACGGACGTGGAGTTTGTTGTATCACGAGCCGCTTGGTGCAGTGATTTTGATGAGGTAAGTACTGCTGTTATCTTATGCATCAGCCTAACAACCCTTTTTACTCTCCCTCTCTTCTCGCTCTGCTACTTTGCTGATGTGGTTCATTATGCTTTTTCCCTCCAAGGGGTGTTGTTTAGTTCAGTGAGTTTTTCACCTTCATCTTTGGTGTCATAGATATGCCCAAATTAGGGCATTCCCAAGTATTCTTACTATTGACTGGGTGACTTGCCTTTTGTAAAGCAATTAGAGAGGAAGGGTGGGGCGGGACACACAGTGTGTGTGTGTGTGTGTGTACAAGTCGGTTTATTGACACGGTTGCCATGCTTTACTGTAATAGTCTATTCCTATTCCATATGTGTACTATTCCAAGTCAATTTTCCCCTATCCATATTGTGACTCATAGTAATTTTTTGTACTGCTATGTACTTTTTTACTACAAATCTCGGCAATAATTATGCTCGTTTTTTTTATAGCGGGATTGCTACTGAAATAGGGTAATAGTTAAAATTAAAAAGGAAGAAGGGTGTGGGTGGCTTTCGGAAGGCGCAAACTACTTACCTTAGGAGCTTTTTCACTACTTCTCTTCCCGTGATTCATAGAGCAAGTAGGAGGAGGAGGCAAGGTGATCACAACCTACCAGCATATACATCTAATTTAAAGATACCATTCTTCCTTTCTTGAATAATTACTGTGGCTGAACTTTCTTCTTCCCCTGATGACGAAGCCTTAATGATCATATTAATTGCAGCAACAATTTTCTTTTTACTCATTTTAGTAGAAGGCTAAGATATTATGAGCAATCAATGAAAGGAATATTTGACTCTTAGGCTGGATTCCCTCTTCGCTCCCCCCCCCCCCCCCCTGCCTCGCCCTCCCTCTCCTATGAATGACTTGTATTTTTCTCTCTCATTGTGTCCCTAGCATCGTTTAGGCCTCTTTTTCTTTCCCCTTTGCAGAGGTGCACCTGATTATGTGCCTCGATAAAGGCATGAGCTCTTCACAGCGCGTTATGCGTTTGACAGTTTCACCATAGTTATTGGCAATGAAGCATCGCGTTAATTTTGACTAGGCATTGCTAGCTTTTTTGGTTGTTTATCCACTCCTTTGCATGCAGTCTCATTGTGCAATTGTTTAGCACTTTTCATTTGGAGTTAATTGCATTTGTCTTATTAAACTTCAAGGTCTTAGTAGTGATTTCTTCTTCCCCTCCCACCCCCCCC